AAATAATCTAATTATAGTGTTTTTAACGTACAAAATACTATAGATTTATCTAAATATTGTTAAACGTTCTGTTATATATGGTACGCTTTATGTATTAATTATTCTAATAAATATGAAATTATACATGTATACTTCTGTATTGTTGCAGAATAAATTATATATATTATATTTTTGTACTATAAATCTATTGTATATAATAATATATATATTATACACAAATTATATGTATTAATACCATATTATTTAAATGTTTATATAAATAAAATGGTATAACTCACATGTATAAAATCATGATAAATACAATTTATAATTGGTGACATTATTTTTTATAAACACAATTTTTTAATAATTTTTTTAAAATTATATAATTACAATTGTTATATATATTTTCTTTTTAAACAAACTTTTCTGATTATACGCTAATTTTTTTTTCTGTAAACATTTATATACTATACGAGCCATAAAATAAAAAATATAAAGAAATTTTCATTAAACATATTTCATTATTCATTAATATAAAATATTATATCATATATATTTGTTTAAAAATATAAATTATATATATGTTATATTTAAAAGAATAGTGAATGATATTATTTGTCTTATATTATTATTAAGTCCAAATATAATATTATAATATATTACAGTTTTTCACCTTTAGATTTATTTCGTTTATTATAAAATTATTAAGCAATATTTCATATATTTATTCTTTTTTCAATTATAATAGTCAAATATCAGATATAAATATATTTTTTATTAAAATATTTGAGAACTATGAATAAACATAAACTGTTATAAAAAAAGAATAACTAGTACAGGACTGTTCTTGTACTACAGTAATTTTTGAGTTTTCATGGAAACGTATTTCATTTTACATAAAAAATATAATATAATAGCGCACGTATTAGAACAATAATGTATATATATTCTTTATTTTTCTTTTTCATTCATATAAAGTATATTATGCACAAAAGAAAGTAATAAGAATTTTTTTTATTTTGTGCTAATACATTAGTAAACATATTATATGTTATACATTTATATTAGTGAATCATGGCATTGGAATAATATTTAAATTTAATAATTGTTTTAATTTTCTAAATATCATTACTTTTCTATTAATTTTTATGTTTTATTAATTAATATTTAATATATGCTATTTAAATTACAAGAAATAATTTTTTTTTATAATCTTTAAGTAATATTCTAATAGTTTATATTTTGTGATTGCAATATATGGCCTCTTTTTTGTTAATATAAAAACTAAATCTTCTTAGAATAATATAGATTTATCAATGTTAAATTTTATACAGTTCTTTTATTTTCTAATAGTATGTTCAGTATAAATACATATATTTATTTGTTTTGTATAAAATTTTTCGTGTGTACAAATGAAGAATATTTACTAATAATTTATTTATAATCTTAACATTCATATATAATCTAGAAAATAACTTAGATAAATATTAAATATATACATATGCTAAATATTAGTAAAAAAAAATACACATACCAAACATGAAAACACAGATTATTTTTTTCCAACACGATTAATATGAAATTTATATGAAGAAAACTCATTATAGCAAAGAAATTATAAAAAGAAAATTATATAAAGAAATCAAAATATATAATTTTTATTATATAATGGAAATATGAGTTTCAGTAATGATATATTTATGTAATTTCTTATAATTTTCAAATTTATAAGTACGTAGTATTTCACAATACGTGTATATTATAAATTTTCTTATATATGTATTTTGAATTTATATAGAAATTTATAGCACATACTTATATGTGAACACAGAAAGAAAAAATTACCTGTTATATATAATATATAGTAATCAAATATATTTTATACTTTGAAATTGCTAATTACACTCTATTAGACAATAAATACTTTAATTCATTATAACTTGTTGTGAAATAATTGATATAAATTATATGATGTAAAATAAACTTATACTTATGTCAATCCTGACATATAATAACAAATAGATTATAAATACATACATATATGAATGAGTATAAATTTATATTTTATCATTCATTAATACAATTTATAATAACCATGTAAAAAACTAGATAAAGAACATAATTACAAAAAATTAATACTAAATTTGTCATAAAATTATTGTAATATTAAAATAAATAACTTTTTAGTATCACTATATATAATTATGAAACTTTTTCTATAAATAATTATCTATAGCATACATCAATTATATATTTGAACCAAGAAATTATTTATAATATCATTTACAAGTTTAACATATTAAATAATTTAAAATTCTTAAGAAAATATTATATTAAAACAGAAACTAATATAATAACTCATTATTCATTTAAAAATAAAAATATTATATTTTTTTTTTTTTTTTTTTTGAAATTTTTATAATAAAAAAGGTAGTATAAGAATAAATTTATTCTTATTTAAAATATAATTTTAAATACGTTTATTGTATGCACACTTTAATATTTATTATAATCTGTATAAATATAATTATTAATTTAGAAAATGATCAATCGTTTCTGTACTTTCATATTTATACTTATACACAATTGTCATTGATAAGCACCTACTAAATTAATCATTACAAATATTTTATTATGTTTTAGAACATTCGTATTTTTTCTATTCAAAAGATGTATTATGTAGTATTCATTAAATATTTAAAACAGCTTATATCATTATAATTATATATTTATAATATTTTCATTTTGTATATATCTGCCTTATTAGAGTAAAAGATACGCAGCTATATTAATTCATTATGTAGAATATCTAAATTTAAGTATATATTTATTAAAATATAATAAGTATAAATATTAATATTTTCATATGTATTCACAATTTCTAAAACATATAAGAGTTATTATACATTTAATACGTGACTTTTATATATATTCGTAGGTTTTAAATTTTTATAAAAGTTTTTTTTAATCTTATAATATATATATATTAAGACAAGTGTCCAATAGATATTTACTTTTATCGTATACAATTTTTATATATTCTGAAATAAATTATATATGATTAAAAAATTATATTATTGAATTTAAAACCTTTTGGATAATATGCATAAGAATAAGTAAAAATTGATGAAATACTCATAGAGAGAATAAATAAAATAATATATGATTAACTAAGATTATTATTGGAATCATAGTTCATTATGTTAACATATTAGGGGTTCACGCATTATGTATAAGAATGGTTTCATTTGAATTAAGTAAAAGGAAGTATTCTAAGGGAACACTTAATAAAAGCCTATTAATAACACTCTTCTATATAATAAATGTACTATAAAGAAATTTATTGTTTGTAGTTATACAATAAAAAGTATGCTTATTTAAATTTTGTTCTAATGGAATATATTAATCTAATATTATAAAAATGGGATATATCTATTTAAATATATTTATGTGTAATCATTCATTAAGAATAAAAAATATGTAAAATTATTATTAACATAAAAAACAAATATTATAATGGAAAGAAACAAATAAATTTATAGATATGCTTTAAAGTCCGGCATTGAGGAAAAAGTGGCACACTTATGGGAAGTTTATGAATATAATATAAAAAACAATAACTGGTAATAAAATATATTACGACATAAAATTATTATGTATTAGCAGGAATTTATGAAAAAAAAAAAATATTTATTGATAAGAAGGAAAAAAAAATTTTCATACAATGGAGTTTAAAAAATATTGTAAATATAGCATAAGTAATTTGTTATGGTTGTATTTAACTATTATATTCATCTTCATTAATATTGTTTTAATATATGTTAATAATAAATTCTGAGTATATAGAATAATAAACTTCAAAAAAATCATATACGTTAAGGTAATGAATCAATATTTATTTGTACTAATGTGACACAAACATATTTGTATATAATAATTAATTAATGTTTTGGGAAAGTTTTTTTTCATTACATTTTTTTTCAATTTATGTTTTTTGTGCTTGAATATTGACAAAAATAATTATATTTATGCTTATTTATATAAGTAATTTCATTTTTTACAAGCATATATTTTGATATATCTATATATTTTACCTGTAAGTAGTATTCATAAAACATAAAAATAACAAATAATATTACATATATCATTTGAAATATTCAATTAAATTCGTTATGCTTCTATAAATTGAGCAAAATTATTTTTTCCATAAATGCCCTAATATTTAAATATATATTTAATCTTGATAGTGTAAATACAATATAAATGAATATCACAATATTTTTTTAATACTGGCACATGAAAATATATTGTTATAGAAATCATAAGGTAAAATATTTAATAATTTTTTTCTAAGTTTATAATATAGTCATGTAGTTGTAAAATTCAAGAGTATCTATATAATTTAATATTATTGAAATAACTGAAGGACAATTATAATTACACTAATAAAGAAATAAGTTTTTCTGTTTTCCATGGTAATATATAAATAGGTCTAATACATATTTATTAGATTTAATTTAAAAATATATGAGAACTATAAATTTTTATTATTATTGAATTATGTGTTTTTTGAAATATTTAATGGGGATTTTTTTTTATGGATAAAATTTTTATACAGGAATTAGAATTATTTTTTTATATTTTATTAAATATAAAATTAATTATATTATTTTAATTACATATAAACAATTGTTGAATTTTATATGTGACTCCTTATATTACAAATGAATGTTTTTTGACAATTCATTTAAATGTTTGTTTCTTATTTAAATAAACCCTAATTTTTATAATGTCTTTAACTGTATCTTTTTTAATTGTAAATTTTTTGAAGTAGTTATTTATGTGTTACATTATGTTATATTAATCATTTAAATGAATAATTTATTTTGTCATTATTTCTTCATATATATGTTCATATAATTTCTTATTTTAAAACAAAAATATCGTTTTTTATTTAAATTAAATATTTCGAATAATATAATAAGCATATATTGAATTTTGCTATAGATTTATTATCACTATGAAGTGTTATATAATATTTGATATTGTTTATCATTTATATTTTTGTATTCTGTGTTAAATGAATTATTTAATTTGAGTGCTTCTTTTCTTTTGTCCCATAGGGCCTTTAGATATTTTATGGTTGATGGTAAGTATGATATATAATTAGTATACTGAATATAAAGAAATTAATTTATTTAATTAAATATAATTCGTTTTTTTGATATTTTTAATTACATAATAATGTGTAACATAAATTGTAATATCATATATAATTTTAGTTCATTATTAACCTTATATAAAATAAATATAATTATTATTAGGGAAAGCAGTACAATAAATGAACTTAGAAAAGCTTTATGTGCATATCTACCATAATATGAGTATAATGTTTTCGGGACATCTGTACATTCTGACTTTAGTCTCATAACACTGTTATATTGATCTCTAAATTCTTCGAGTAATTTAGAAAATGTATTATTGTTTGAATTTTGGCTAATTTTTAAGAGGGACACATATGTATTAGCACATATATCAGCAAGATTGCAATATCCATCTCCATTTTTTAAGAGTTCGTAAGAACCGTATAATTCATCTAGTTTTTTCATTACATAAAATGTACCTTCATCTAGATCCTTAAATTTATTTTGACATACATTAGATACATGTTTCATATTAGCTTTCTTAATACTCATCATTTTAGCATAACAATCTTCTTCCCCATAACACGTTGGTTTAACCAAAAATAGTTCATCTTTTAGTTTGTATCCGAAATATTTACAATAAGGCTCTTTATTAGAAATTGATGTACTATTTATATGATCTAAATAGAGGCTAAGTTGTTGACAGGATATATTGAAAATATAATAATTATCTCTTATTTCTTTCCTTATATCTTCACAAATGTCCTTATATAATCGATGAGGATTCTTTTTTTTTAAATCTGCTTCTTCCCTATAGACTTTTGTACATGTAGGAAATATTCCTGTAAAATTATACTAATGTGAAAAATATTAATTCATGAAAAAATAAAAATAAATTTTTTATAGTTTAAAACATATTTATATTTTTCACATATTAAGATATTTTAAAATTAAATGACTATATTTATTAAAAGAAATAGAAACATACATCTTTGTTCACAGTTATAGTGTTACCCATGATGTGACATATACAAGAACAAGCACAAAAAGTATATTATGTTCTTTAGTTAAAATAAATTTTGTGCTTGATTGTAAAAATAAATGTTTTACTGATATGAATATGTAATCAATTAATTCTCATAATTTAAAGAAATTTTTGAAATTTTTTCTTTTGCTCTATGTTTCTCAAATATTAAACCATTCGTAATGTTGCATATTTGGGTTAAGGGTAACGTTTTAACGTAAGTACATAATGTGAAAAATATATTTATAAAATTAGAATATTAATAAATTTATAATTCCTTAATCATCTTTGTGTTTTCTTAATTCGATTATTAATTTTTATAAAACTTCTCAAACTGATAATAGCATCTGTTTTTTATTCATGTATATCATTTATATTTAGTATATAATATGTATTTGGAAATTAAGTCAGCATAAACATCAATATGGATCAATACTTAAATGTCATTTTTCATTAAGCATAATTTACTACAATTTTTGTGCATAAAACACGACTTTATTGCATGAAATGTATAATTATAATAGAATTTATATATTATTATTTACATTATCATAAATATATAATACTAAATATTTCATTATATTTAATGCTCATTTAAATTATTCGAACGTAATTCTTTATCATTTTTTTGCATCTAGCATTATAAAATTTTAATAATATAATGGTAGCCTAGTCCAAGTAACAAGGAATTTTTAAATACTATTTAAACATTTTATTTCATTAATCATTATTCCATAATAATTAATATATAAACTGTTATCTATGCACATTTTTATTTTTTAGTATTATGTGAATTATAAATATATGTAATGAGTTTAACATGAGAATGATATGAATCGTGGTTTAGAGTTCAATGTTTACTGCTCAGAATTTTAATTAAGATTTCGTATAAATTCACCAGATTTTTTTGAGAAAAATACAATAAGAGTATTATTCTATATATAATAATTAAAAGATTATATATTAAAATATAACTTGTATTAAGGGATCTATATATAAGCCTTAGTACAATATATATATATATTTCTACTGTATATGAGTTAATATTAATATAAGATATTTCATAAATTAATAAAAAATATATGTAAATGCAGTATCAATATATAGAATTTTATCATTTTTTGATATTTCTAGGCACAATTAATATTTCCATTTTTTTATTCATTATTTGTTAAAATTTTTTTAATATGTACTAAAATAATAATATAATGTTAGTAAAAATTTTGAAGCAGTATAATAAGTTATTATTTTTATTATTATATTATAATTAAGATAATTTTATTTTTTGGAGATTTCTATCTATGCTCTTTTTATTATTATCTAGTTCATATTTAGAGAAATATTTTTTTTATATGAATTATATATATATCTATATTCATTAATTTTATTTACTATATATATTTTAAACAGTTTCGTATTTTTTAAAACTAATAATTTTTAGTGTTATATAGATTATTTCAAAAATAAAATATTAAATTTTTATAAAATAAATTATATAAATATTTAATTTATTTGTATATATGTTTTTTAATTATTCATGAATAAACTTCTTATGCATATTTTATTATTATATCAATTTTTTCTTTTTCATTGCCAATATGCAAAATGTAATATCTCGAGAAGATAATAGCATTAAATATGTAATATATGACCTATTTTTAAAATGAAATAGGTCATTACCATGTAAATATATGTTTATTGTAACCACACAGTTTATTTTACTAATAATATGATGTGTTCATTAATATTTAAAATTCACTATATATGCGATATAAGTGATATTCATTGTAAAATATAATCATAAATAAAATAATGATATTATTTTTTGATATTATTCTTTTAGTGAATAATTTCATTATATGTAAAATATAAAATAAGGAAAAAAAAATTTCTACAACGCAATTATGATATAATCTAAATGACATAGTAAGATATAATTTTTTGTAAACCTTTTTAGAAAAAGCTTTTTATTGCATTATATTAATTAAAATAATTCTATGCTTTTCTTTATCATGAGTGATAATAGAACTACCATATTATTAAATATAAATAAAAATAATGCGTTTCATATTCAATTACTGCATTGATTAACAATATTGTAATTATGCTAAATTGCCTGTATAATGAAGAATTACATGTTTTAATTATAACAGAATATTGATACATTATATAAATAAATAAAAATTAATATATATTATGCTTAATAATTAAATTATGATAAAAAACTCGCAAAATATAATTTTTGGGGGGAATTATACATAAAACAGTCATATTTACTGAATTTAGCTATTATATATAAAGAATTAGATTACAATATTAAAATTTATAGTTATTTAATCTATGATTATTTTGATTTATGAATAAATGTTATATAATTTGAGATAAGATAAATTTTTAGCTATATATATAATTTTTATATTCAATGTTGTATTCAATATAGGACATTTTATATTATGTTATTGTTAAGACACTTTTGATTATATTAAAATATTTTTGCATACAATGATTAGATTAATATAAAAATATATATAAATAGAGTTTCTTCTTTCTCAATATCAATATATATTAACAGTAATATTATTTATTTAATCTTAAATGGAGTCTTCTTTTAATGATACAAAATATATTTTTACTTTTTTATATCCTTTCATCCTATATACCAAAAAGCAGAACTCTAATAAAATGTAATGGAAAACAAATAATAACATAACTAATGGTGCAATTATACATAAGATATTTTATTATTACGTGTTATATTATAATTTATATAAAATGTTATATAATTAATTTAAACGGAATTCATACAACAATATAGTAACAACAAGAAGAATATGATGTATATTTTATGTGTATAGTTAGAATAGTAATTATAATTACTGTTATTATTTTGTTATATTATTTCATAATCTATTTCTTATTGTTCAGAATTGATTACAATTAAAATTATTTTTCTTTAGGTATATGTATCCTTGCTTTTTATCCATATATGCCTAGTTCATTTTTGCATTTCTCTTCAATAAATGTACATATATAAATTACAAGTATGAGAAGTAAAAAATAATGATAAAGTGAAATTGTCTTCCAAATATTTTTACTATTAAATATTTATTTTTTCCATATGTAGGTTTAGATCTTATTGTGACTTGTATATACTTATAACAGTCCTAAGAGGGGAGGGGAGGAAATTACTGTATAATAAAAGGTTAAGTTTTCAATGATTGAATTTAAGAAAAATTATATATAGCATAAATTATAAACTTAACTAAATCTATATTATTGTTATGTAAAATAAAATCTAACTTTTAATTTATAGATTTGTTTTATGTATACCTAATAATATGAAAGAAATATATAATAATGCAAATTTAGGCACTTATAATACTTTGAGTATTACATATAGATAGAAAATATAATATATATTTGCAATCACTAAAAATGTATAAAATTTTATAGTAATTTTTTTTCACTCTAAATAATATACAACCTTTGTTTCTTTACATATCAATTACAATAACAATACACTAGTAATTTGGAAATTCAAGAACGTAGGTAAATGTATTTGTAAAAATTATTTTAAAAGTTAGTGAGCAATATTTACTGATATTTTACATATTACAGATTAAATGAAACTGAACAGATAGGTTAAAATGTTAAAATAATATTAAAATCATGCTATAATATATAAATCATACATATAGTATTCATATAACATGGTATTTGGAAAGTAGTAAGCATTATTTATAATCATAATGAAATATAATTACATACATTGTTGTTCACATACTTCAAATCATTGATGCTTAAGACACGCTAATTTATTCAAAAAAAAAATTTATTTGTTTTTTTTATAAATAATTATATTCGAAAATTGTCAAAACAAATGTTATATTTATATAATGAACGTTAATTATTGTATCCATAAACTTTTAACAATTTCTTGAAAATATGTTTTATATTAAGTATTTATAAATATAAAACTATGATACTATTGTAGTTTCGACATTGATTTTATTTTATGTATAAATAATATGAAAATTTTATATTAATATTTATATAATAACATTAATCAGTAATCATTACTTATGAATTATTTTTATTAATATGAAGCTTCACAAATATATTAGCTGTCCAACATAAAAATTATAATGACTTATACATACAATAAAGGCAATCAGAATTTATTTTACATATATTTTTTATATTCCTTTAAAAATACAGATAAATGTATATATAATATATAAAATATCGTTTTTCACATGATTACAGAATTTTTGGTAATATTTTATTTATAATATATTATTTAAATTTCCATTATATCTTACCAAATAAAATATAAGATATATTTACTAAAATAAATAATTATAAATGTTAACAATATTTTATAATGTAAGATAATTTAATAATGCTTAATAATAATTATACTATTAATGAATAAATATTATTTTCTTATAATTTATGTTAATTATAATGGAAATCATACAATAACTAAAGTTTTTAATAATAATTCTGTTCACATGGAGTTCTATTAATTATAATCTTTACAGAATATATTAATTAATTTGCGTTTTTACAGCAAAAATGCAATTAAAATTATCATTTATACTATTCATTATTACTCAAATATAGCACAATGTTTGATTAGCAAAAATAGAGTTAAAGCTATATAAGAATTGTAGAAATCATTTCCGTTCTTTGT